CAGATGTGGTGGAGTGTGGTATTTATCACTGTTAGCCAAGTGGCGATACTCCCCCACGGTCATGGCTTTCTTCTTTTTATGGTACTGAGTAAACACACCTGCTCGCCCAGAGGCCACCTGCTGCAGAGGAGTGGCTATTAGGATGTCATTGACATCATCGTAGGTCTGTCTGGCTTTCCAATCCTTGGGTGGAATTACCTTAGCCAGGCCTGCTCGGTGTGCACCTTGGGATTCCATGTAAGCAATGTATTTGTTGAAATCTTTAAATTGTTCCATGGTTGGGCAGAAGGTCGTGATGGGACAACTTGGGCTCTGGGTACCATAGTGCTCAGGCTTCATGGCTGCAATAGAAAAAGCCACAGACTCCCAAGGTTTTAGGTATGTTCTAGAAACCTGAGAATACTGGGGGGTGAATATTTAAAATATATTTTTATCTATTGTAACGCGTTGGTTTATCTGTGAGGCAAAACTCAGACTTGAACTTTTAAATAAAAGCGATATCTCTCCAGGCTTGCTGATCACCAAGGGACTCCACTTTGGTCAGCATTTTTTCCCAAAGGGAGTAGAATTGTTCCCTGTGGAACAGATACTCCGAGTCAGGTGCTGGCTCAGCCGTCAGCTCTGTGAGGTTCCTCAGTTGGGAGTGTAGCTCTGTCTTCTGGGTCTTCTCATTGTCATTCCTGGGTGCACGGGTAGCTCCCAACCCCGCTGGAGCAGTGAGTCTTCAAGGAAGTTTTAAAAGGAACCCTAAAGAAAAGAAGGCAGAATCATTTCAAATAAGTGGATGACAAAAAAATGCTGAGGTAGCACTAAGCTAGATAAAATTGGTATGGCAATGTTAATATCAAAATTAAAACTTAAGATCAAATCATTAGACAGAAAAAGAGGAACATCTAATTGGACTAGAGGAAAAGTCAGAAAAGTTCAAAAATGAATGAATTCAGCAGTCAACTCAAAACCGGATGAAGCAACTCCAAAGAAACATTTAGAAAAGGGAAAGAAAAACAAAAATAGTATCAGAAATTACTACAAAAGAAAACATGATACACAGTAAGGATCATGACCAAACCAAAAGCTGATTCTTGGAAAAGACCAGTGTGAGTAGCAATTGATAGGCGTGAAAAGAAGGTACAGTAAAACCTGTGAAAGCTGGAAATTGTAAAGCAGAAACCTGTCAGAGAAGGAAAACTCAAATATTTCCCACTAAAATGAGCACTAGAAAAGTGGCAAGACTGCACCCCGTCAAAGGCGGAAAGCTTGTGAGAGCCAAAAACAAGGCCGTCCCATCTAGTTCAGGCTCTCACCAACAAGCATTATAAAATATAAATAATTGTTTAAACACGACCCCTAAAAACCTGTGAGACTCATCATTGTATGGGAGGATTCCAGCTCCTATCTTACACAAACTTTAGAAAAGCTTTAGTATGAAAAATACGCAGTTCGTTTTATAAGGCTATAAGCATACCCCTAAGGAGCCCTGATGGTGTAACGGTTAAGCACTTGGCTGGTAACCAAAAGGTGGGTGGTTCAAACCTGCCCAGTGGCTCCAGGGGAGAAAAGACGTGAGGATCTGTTTCTGTAAGGATTACAGCCCAGGAAACTCTATGGGGCAGTTCTACTCTGTCTTATAGGGTCACTATAAGTCAGAATCGACTCGATGGCAAACAACAAAGCATAAACTTGATACCAAAACCCGAGAAGGGATCAAGAGAAAAGAAGTCTATAGGCCCAAAATTTCCAGAAGAAAAGTTAGAAAAATCTTGAATAAAATGGTATGAAATCTTAATGCAGTAGGCCATTAAAATAATACTAACTCATTGCCCTCAAGTTAATTCCCACTCATAGCAATCCTAAAGGACAGAGTAGAACTGCCCCATAGGGTTTCCAAGGAGCATCTGGTGGACTCCAACTGCTGACCTTTTGGTTAGCAGTGGAACTCTTAACCACTATGCCACCAAGGCTTACCTTGAGAGAATGGCCTAGTTATCTACTTTAGAAAAATCAGCTATTGAAAACCCACCCCATGGAGCACAGTTCTACTCTGATACACATGGGGTCTCCATGAGTCAGAAATTACTGGACAGCAAGTGGTGTTTTACTAGTCTTTAAATTTATAATAAGAAAATAACTCTCACTCACAAGCAAAAGTAACAGAAAACTAAATCAACCTACCTTCCACCAGCCAAAATTCTGAATTCATATGAAGATTCTCCAAGAGATGGTTTCCTCCTAGCCACCAAATGAAGCCCCGCTTCCTGATAATCGTGACTTTATACCTCCGCAGTACTCTAACTCAGTCAACACCCACATAATGCAATCAAAAGGCTAGGTTCTTGATTGACCATTCCACTTAATCCAAGGCTTTAAAAAAAAAACCAAAACTTAAAGCTAAGTAAAAGGTTGAAAATAAAGGGGAGGAGCCCTGGTGGCACCGTGGTTAAGCGCTTGGCTGCTAACCAAAAGATTGGCAGTTCTAATCCACCAGCCGCTCCCTGGAAACCTATGGGGCAGTTCTGCTCTGTCCTATAGGGTCACTATGAGTAGGAATCAACGCGATGGCAATGGTTTGTTTTTGTTTTTTAAACCACAAAGCAGTGAAACTTGGAAAACAAAGACAGCATTAGAAGGTAAAACTGACAAATTTTCAAATATGGTGAGAATTTGTTTTAATATAATTCCTAGAAAGTGATAGAGCTGAAAAGAAAATTAATAATGCTATAAAAATTTTAACAACAGACTTAACATTGATTATATAATCTATGGCAACCACAACAACAAATGGAAAATACTTTTCAAATATGTGAGACATTTACAAAAATTAAACTACACAAGGCCACAAAATATCAATAAAAATTCCAAAGAATCAATATATTGAGCAAAAGTTTGACCAAGATGGAAAGTTAGGAGTAAAAACAACTAAACCCAAACATATTTATTTTATTTTATGTTCAAGTCAAGCATCGAGTAAAAAACAAAGCAAAAGAAACAGAACATAGTTAAGGCAGTGAAAATGAAAGATAAAAATGGTAGGATAAAGAAATAAACATATATGAAAATAGAGATGATTAATTAAAATGAAATCTGATATTTTTAAAGAAAAATAAAACACTGCAGATACTGATGAAGGAAAAAGAGATAGAGAGAGAGATGTTTCTAGGAGTGGGGCAGGAAACATACAAGATAAGCCTGGAGCATCTTATAGTGACAGACAGTAAGGAAGTGCTAAGTAACTAACAAACATTGACGGGTTATGGCAAAGGAGCACAGGAGCTAACTGAAAGAGCTCCCAATGGCCAAAGCTAGAAACAGTTTGAACAACAAAATAAAGTAGCATTAGATTATAACCCAACGTATAAAATAAATATCCATGAGTTCATACTGATATAAACAAATGACTGAAGAAATTAATAAACAAGGGGATAAGAGACAAATCTCTCCTGCAGAAGAATTCCAAAAAATTTATGCAGACGTTGTTGCTAGTGTCATTTGCTTGGCTCACTCATGATGCCCCATGCACAGTGGAATGAAATACTACCCAGTCCTGAGTCATCCCTGGGATCGGTGGTGTATGGGATCATAAATTATGTGATGTTGTTGTATGCTGTGGAGTTAATTCTGACTTATAGTAGCCCTATAGAAGAGAGAACTGCCCCATCGGGTTTCCAATGCTGTAATCTTTAGGGAAGCAGACTGCCACATCTTTCTCCCGCGGAGAGGTAATTGGTGACTTCTAACCACTGACCTTTCAGTCAGCAGCCAAGCCCTTCACCACTGGGCCACCAACCCAAAAAAAGCACACTCTTTGCCTCTGAGTTGATTCCAACTCATAGTTACCCTCTAGGACAGAGTAGACTTGCCCCATAGGGTTTCAAAAGAACTGCCAACCTTTTGATTAGCAAAGTCAAGCTCTTAACCATTGCTCCACCAGGGCTCCACTGGGCCACTAGGGCTCCTTAAATTATGCAAATACTTCACCCTAAAGGAGAGGGAAAGTTAACAGAATCGGTGGTTGTTCCAACCCACCAGCTTCTCTGAGGTAGAAAGATTTGCCAGTCTGCTTTTGTAAAGATTTACAGCCTAGGAAACCTTATGGGGCAGTTCTACTCTGTCCTATAGTGTCACTATGAGTGAGAATCGCCTCAATGTCGGAGGGTTTTTTTGTTATACATAGAATCACAATTTATGTATTCTTGTGTGCATGTTTGCCTTCATCTAAGTTGTTCCCCGTAGCTGTACTTTGTTCTGCTTCATTGTATTCAATTGTATAAATGTTTCTTACTGTTGATAGACATTTGGGTTGTTTCTGCCTCATACAATGTTGTTCTGAACATTCTCAGATACCTGTGCTGCAGCACATGTGTACTCTTACCTTAGGGAACATATCCAAGAATCCCCTAGGTCATAGAATATGTGAATTCTAACTCTATCATGTGTCTTAGTTATCTAGTACTGCTGTAACAGAAATATCACAAGTGGATGGCTTTAACAAACAAATTTATTCTCTCAGAGTTTTGGAGGCTAGAAGGCTGAATTCAGGGCACCAGCTCGTCTATGTCAAGAAATTTGTAAAACAATTACCTTGCCAACCAACCGGAAGAGATCCGTATTTGTGCCCATTCCCAGGAAAGGTGATCCAACAGAATGCAGAAATTATTGAACAATATCATTAATATCACACACAAGCCAGTGAGCACCTCCAGAGCTGCATCCATTTCTTGAAACATCTCAATTGGTTTTCCGTCAATTCTTGGAAACTTGTTTTACGCCAATGCCTTCAGGGCAGCTCAGGCTTCTTCCTTCAATAGCATAGGTTCTTGATCATATGCTACCTCTTGAAATGGCTGGACGTCAACCAATTCTTTTCCGTACAGTGATTCTGCGTATTCCTTCCATCTTCTTTTGCCGCTTCCTGCATTGTTCATAGAATCCTTCAAAACTGCAACTCGAGGCTTGAATTTTTTCTTCAGTTCTTTTAGCTTGAGAAATGCTGAGCATGTTCTTCCCTTTTGGTTTTCTAACTCCAGGTCTTTGCACATGTTATTATAATACTTTACTTTGGCTTTTTGAGTCGCTCTTTGAATTCTTCTGTTCAGCTCTTTTACTTCTTCATTTCTTCCATTTGCTTTAGCTACTCTATGTTCAAGGACACGTTTCAGAGTCTCTTCTGACATTCATTTTGGTCTTTTTTTTCTTTCTTGTCTTTTTAATGACCTTTCGCTCTCTTCATGTATGATGTCCTTTATGTCATCCCACAACTCGTCTGGTTTGTGGTGTTCAATGCATCAGATCTATTCTTGAGACGGTACTAAATTCAGGTAGGATATACTCAAGGTTGTATT